TCTCTCTCTCTCTCTTTCCCTCCCTCCCTCCCTTCCTCCCTCTCTCCAGCCCTCCCTCGCTCTCTCCATCCCTCCCTCCCTCCCTCTCTACAGCCCTCCCTCCCTCTCTCCATCCATCCCTCCCTCCCTCTCTCCATCCCTCCCTCCCTCCCTCCCTCCCTCTATCCATCCATCCCTCCCTCCCCCTCTCTCTCTCCCTCCCTCCCTCTCTCTCTCTCCCTCCCTCCCTCCCTCCCTCTCTCCATCCCTCCCTCCCTCCCTCCTTCCCTCCCTCCCTCCCTCTCTCCATCCCTCCCTCGCTTTCTCCCTCCCTCCCTCTCACCATCCATCCCTCTCTCCATCCCTCCCTCCTTCCCTCTCTCCAGCCCTCCCTCGCTCTCTCCATCCCTCCCTCCTTCCCTCTCTCCAGCCCTCCCTCGCTCTCTCCATCCCTCCCTCTCTTCAGCCCTCCCTCCCTCTCTCCATCCCTCCCTCCCTCGCTCTCTCCATCCCTCCCTCTTCATCCCCCCTCCCTCCCTCTCTCCATCCTTCCCTCCCTCTTTCCAGCCCTCCCTCCCTCTCTCCAGCCCTCCCTCCCTCCCTCTCTCCATCCCTCCCTTCCTCCTTCTCTCTCCATCCCTCGCTCTCTCTCCATCCCTCCCTCTCCATCCCCCCCCTGCCTCCCTCTCTCCATCCCCCCCTCTCTCTCTCCATCCCTCCCTCTCTCCATCCATCCCTCCCTCTCTCCATCCATCCAGAATTGAAGAAACAAATCAAGTTAAAAAAAAGTTCATTGGGTCAGAGTTAGGGTTATCACCAAGTCGGTCCCTTCACCACCACCGACACACATATCTCCCCACTCCTACAGCCCATACACACACACCCTCAAATCATCCATCCTTCCATCAATCCATCTCCATCCTCTCCTTCCCTGCCTCCCTCCCAAGCTCTGCCTGCCTCCCTCCGTGCCTGTCTCCCTCCGTCCCTGCCTCCCTTCCTGCCTACCTCCCTCCCAATCTCTGCCTCCCTCCTAAGCTCTGCCTGCCTCCCTCCCTCCCTCCCTCCCTCCCTGCCTGCCTGCCTGCCTGCCTGCCTGCCTGCCTGCCTCCCTGCCTGCCTGCCTGCCTGCCTGCCTGCCTGCCTGCCTGCCTGCCTGCCTGCCTGCCTGCCTGCCTCCCTCCCTCCCTGCCTGCCTGCCTGCCTGCCTCCCTCCGTCCCTCCCTCCCTGCCTGCCTGCCTGCCTGCCTGCCTCCCTCCCTGCCTGCCTGCCTGCCTCCCTCCGTCCCTCCCTCCCTGCCTGCCTGCCTGCCTGCCTGCCTGCCTCCCTCCCTCCCTCCCTCCCTGCCTGCCTGTCTGCCTCCCTCCCTCCCTCCCTCCCTGCCTGCCTGCCTCCCTGCCTGCCTGCCTGCCTGCCTGCCTGCCTGCCTGCCTGCCTCCCTCCCTGCCTGCCTGCCTGCCTCCCTCCGTCCCTCCCTCCCTGCCTGCCTGCCTGCCTGCCTGCCTGCCTGCCTCCCTCCCTCCCTCCCTCCCTCCCTGCCTGCCTGCCTGCCTGCCTGCCTGCCTGCCTGCCTGCCTGCCTGCCTGCCTGCCTGCCTGCCTGCCTGCCTGCCTGCCTGCCTGCCTCCCTCCCTCCCTCCCTGCCTGCCTGCCTGCCTGCCTGCCTGCCTGCCTGCCTGCCTGCCTGCCTGCCTCCCTCCCTGCCTGCCTGCCTCCCTCCGTCCCTCCCTCCCTGCCTGCCTGCCTGCCTGCCTGCCTGCCTGCCTGCCTGCCTGCCTGCCTCCCTTCCTCCCTGCCTGCCTGCCTCCCTCCCTCCCTGCCTGCCTGCCTGCTTCCCTGCCTGCCTGCCTCCCTGCCTGCCTGCCTGCCTGCCTGCTTGCCTGCCTGCCTGCCTGCCTGCCTCCCTCCATCCCTCCCTGCCTGCCCATCCACCCACCAGTCAGCCATCACTGACACAATGAGTGCATTTGGAGCCGACATGATGCACGGATGTTCCTTGATTGTGCCGATGTGTCCAACAAAGTCGCAGAATGAACACTCCAGCCTCTTGACAAATCAAAATATAGTGTTAAAATTAAAGTTGCAGTAATTTTAGTGTACAATAGTTTTCATAAACTTTATTGTAGTAATCAACATACAACAGAACTACTCAACACAGTGTTAATGGCATAATACACTACAGTATGTATTTACTGTACAGCATTCACAACTCCATGAGACTTCAAGATGGACTTAACTCCAACAATAAGGTAAATAACAAATGTAACAGTATTTGTTAGTAGAGTAATAATATATAGGTACAGTATATAATATGATAATGCATTTTTATTGTCTACAAGAAAAATAAAGACACTGATGCAAACGCCTCCTGAAGGTCACCTCTTGCAACGAATCCAACGCTCCAACGAACTGGGGTCGGTCCCATATAATACGTTGAATCGAGGTTGTACTGTATAAAAGAAAAACCACACAAGTGGACAACGTACCCAGAGGGAACAGAGCCGGCCGCTGTTATAGGTGAAAACTAGCTACGCAGTACCCTGCACCCCACCAGTGCTATAACTACCACTTACCCCAAGGTAAACAAGGGAGGAAAACCCCCAAACACTCGGGGCGGCCAAACGCCAAGCAGCGAAAAGCCAACAGAGGTAGACCCAAGGTGACTTGTGGAAGGCAACCCCAAGCCCCAAGGGCGGTACTTACAGGGTACTCAGGGAAGGTGACCCTAAGCACATGCAGCCCGAGCACCTGAAAATACAAATCCCAGCTCACATGACCACCGGAAGAGCAGCACTGCTGGGAAGACGAGACACCACGAGCGTAGCTCTCATCCTGTAACTACACTTAGGTAATTACTGCAAACAAGTCACAGCACTGAGACAAGACCGGAGCTGGAGCCACACGACCGTGCATTATCCCATCAGCCGAGGAACTGAGGCGGGGATCGGCGGCGCGGGGGTCTGGGGCTCCCCCTTCCGGGGAGGGGGGAGCTGCGCAGACATGCGGCGCGGCTCGTGTGACGTCATGTTTGTTAGTTCGTTTTCCTGGGGAAGTTCTGTCCACTCGTTTGTCGATTTTTGTTGTTAACCAGAATAGGGGTCTGTTTTGTGGCGCTTACCTTTCTGGGTGCCTGTCCCGGTCGATGGCAGATATAGAATGCTCCAAATCACATGTGCATTTCTATGGGCCATTGCTCCCCATGCCTCTCTGAGGGGGCCAGGTTCTGGCTCGTGGTCCCCGGTAGGCCTAGAACTCCATCCACATCGACTGATGCAAAATAGTTAGGGTATCCATATCAGCCATGGATAGCTCCGGGAAGCCGTAGGGGCTCCCCCCAGAAAAAAAATAATATTTGTTCTTCCAAACCTGTTAATTTGTGTTCACTGATCATGGGAAAAATAATACAAAAATCGTAAGTAGCATATATTGCCCGCTATAGGGCGGGGAAGTTTGGCAAAATGAGGAGTGACTGCCACACACCAGCCAGCCACTCGCTGCCACTCACTCCCTCAACACCTCACTCATCCATATTCTCCTCCCACCATACTGTTTTTGCTTTTATATACAGACGTTATATATAAGTATTTACATGTTTTGTTCACCATAACTGCACATCTAAGCTTGTATGATGAGTAAAGGCACAAAGACGTAGCTACCACGAGCGTAGCTCTCATCCTGTAACTACACTTAGGTAATTACTCACACAGTCAGCTGGTGAAGGCCGCCCTCAAGGCCAGACACACTAATATTTCTCCTACAACAATACTGTTTGTGGTGTTATTACGCTATATACACACATTACATATAAGTATCTACCAGTTTTATTCACCATATTTGTACAAGTAAACTGGTATGGTGCCCAAAGACCATAGTGGTCACCGGTAAACAACATGATAAGTCGTGCAGACAACGCCACCTCCCTCACAAAAATGGTGGCTCCCAACCTATTCCTATTGCTGTTTATACCCTCTATACCTATGTTATATATAAGTATTTACATTTGTGTTCACCATAGCGAACCACTAAGCTGGTATGGTTATCTTCTTGAGGTTATCTTGAGATGATTTCGGGGCTTTAGTGTTCCCACGGCCTGGTCCTCGACCAGGCCTCCACCCCCAGGAAGCAGCCCGTGACAGCTGACTAATACCCAGGTACCTATTTTACTGCTAGGCAACAGGGGCATAGGATGAAAGAAACTCTGCCCATTGTTTCTCGCCGGCGCCTGGGATCGAACCCAGGACCACAGGATCATGAGTCCAGTGTGCTGTCCGCTCGGCCGACCGGCTCCCTAGTGTGCAGTCAATTAGTTAGTGTCAATTGACTGGTTAGTGCAGTCAATAAAAGGTGGCCACACACAGTCAGAAGACATCGCCACCACCCTCCCTCCCACAGCATTACTTCTCCCTCCATGGAGCACAGCACTAAATATCACCACAATCCTGCTATTATCAGAACCCTGGTCAGTTTTATCACAGTCAGGGGTCTTCTGTAATAATATCATCGCTACATAATAGCATGAACAAGTATATTATGGCATTTTAAGGCAATGCTGTGGTCACAAGCTGAACAGCAGTGCTGTGAGCTCATGCTGCGTGCATCAGGCTTGGTTGCTCACTCAATACTGAGGCCCCTAACACCCGAGAATTTTGCCCAGAATTTTCTTAAAAAATGGCGTCTGTTTACAAGAGCCCTGATGACGGTATGGTGAACCCTGTGTATCCGCGGGCCATTTAAATCTTGCGTAGTACAGTACTCCAAAGCATCATATGATGCGATGCACAATTTACTGCAAGTCGGTCAAAGCATCATATGATGCGATGTGCAACTTAAGGGTTAAAGGCACCTGCAAGCACCAGTGTATATATGGAGTACGTTGCATAGCGTTCTGTCCTCCCTATGATATTGGGAAGTGATATTCAAAAACATATAAAATGTAAGCAGACTACCTAGTTATATTACACCCATAGAGCATATTGTACTGCAGACAGAGGATAATAAATTAGTTTTGTTTGAAAAGCATTTACCTGTTGCTTCGTATTCAATAACCTGGTCATCTAGAGAAGGGTCTTCTCGTCTGATCGCCGCAACACCTGCCACACCATCAGGTTCATCCAGTGATACATATATACACTGAAAAGTATTAAAGCAAATTGTTACAGAGAAAAATAGAAAATATACACTAACTATTTCAATTGACTAATAAACAAATATATATTACCCTCAGGTAGAAAACAGGCTGCATCAGAGTAAAAATCCAGCGTTGAATGTAATGAAACGCCATTTTCTGGGCGAGTCCCGGAGGCTCCCCAGAGCTATCCAGGCTGAATGGATATGTATAACTTTCTAGCATCAGTCAATGCATGGAGTTCTTGCCTACCGGGGACCACGAGCCAGAACCTGGCCCCCTCTAGAGAGGCACGAGGAGCAATGGCCTATAGAGACCCCCCTTATGATTGGGAGCATTCTATGTCTGCCATCGACCGGGACAGGCACCCAGAAAGGTAGGCGCCCCAAAACAAACCCCTATTCTGGTAAACTATTGCGACCGAAGACCGAACAGGTGGACAGAACTCCCCAAAGGAAAATTAGCCCTCATGACGTCATCATGTCGCCGCGCCGCCATCTGCGCAACTCCCCCCTCCCCGGGAGGGGGAAGGGGGGAGCCCCAGACCCCACCGTCGGCGACCCAACCATTAGTTCTTACGCTGGATGTCAAAAACGCGAAAAACACAGCCGACCGGAAGGAGGGAGGGATGCCGGGGAGCCTCTGGGACTCACCCAGAAAATGGCGTTTCATTACATTCAACGCTGGACTTCTGGGGGGAGCCCCGTCGGCTCCCCAGAGCTAACTACCCAAAGATAAGGAAAAAACTGGGACTTACCCGGGCGGCGGTCCGTCCTCACTCCTCAACGCGAAGGCGGGACAACTGGCTACAACCGCTGACCCAAAGCAACGCAGGCCCGACGAGGCCCAGGAACATTCACCAGGTAGCGAGCGGCCAGGACCCTGTTCGATCTCCAAAAACGTAGGGCCCGAATCTCCACCCAAGACATGTTGCCAAAGACAGCCGCCAAAGCAGCAAATTTACGAACGTCGTGGGGCCCGGGGAAAAACCGCAGGGCTGGCTACACTTAATAACCCTGCGGACAACCTGAGACCCCTGAGCCCGGGAACAGGGAAGAAGGGAAACCGGATCAACCCAGAGCGCATCCCCGGCAACTGAAGCCGTGGCGCACAAATAACGAGGGAGAGCCGCAACCGGACACAACACATGATGCACCCCCGGCCTGACCAACCAAGCATCAACAACCCATGGCCCCCATCCGGAACGCAGCCGTCTCATTCTTCGCCAGAAAAGAGGGAGACGGCTGCAAACGAACAAAACGACCACCAGGATCGAAAGAGCAGAAACCCCGGCGCCGGAGGAGAGCATGAAGCACGCCAACCCGACCCCCCGAGGCCAATGCCAACAGGAAAAGAGCCTTGGAAAAACAATCCTGTTATGATCTCAGCCTACAGGAGAAACGAGTCTCCCCCTTGAGAGTTATTCAGCAAGCCTGACCTAACCAGAAGATCTAAGAAATATAGAGGCAATAACACAGATGTAAAATAGTTTGTTGGATTCGATGAACAATTTAAGATTATGGGCAATGAAGAAGAAAACAGATAAATGACTGGCTAGGAGATGTGGACATTTTGCTGGAGGCGTGAGGCTCGCTTCTGGAGGGGCTTTGACCTCACTTGAGTGCCAGACATCGCAGGGGAAAGCCGCGCTCCGTTCGAGCTCCCGTCAGAAGGGAACCCCTAGTGATATATCGAAGAGAAGAGAAGTGTGTAGACGTGCCAGCTGTAGAATCGAGCTAGGAACATTGTGGTCTCAAGTCCTGGCCGACGAGAAGAGTATTAAGCCGCCCAGAGACATTATTGTGGGCCGTGGAAGCGCCCTGACCAAGCTTCGTCAGAGGGAGGAGCGCCCTCGACCAGACAATCTGTGGTAAGCACGATATACGCCAGTTCATAGTGATTGCTTGTAGTTGGTCGTGTGCCCAGCGACAGTAGCAATGTTTATTGATAAGTTAGACATGTTTTGGTGAGGCAGAAAGCCTGAAATAAGAGAGTGGAGAGGGAGGAACACGGAGCGACATCCGCCTCCTCTGAGCGCTGGCAGGCAACTGAGGGAGCCCGGCTCCTGATGGCGAAGGACCCTCCCAGTGTGACTCACACCCGCCAGGCGAGGTGGAGTATGGACCCGCCCAAAACGGGGGAGTCTACTCTCACAGTATGTAGAGGACAGATAGAGGTTTGAGGCAAACATATTGTGTGATTATTTGTGTTTATGTGTTAAAGGGGAAACATTTTATTGGAGTATCGATGGGTTGCAGGTTTGTCTTTGGGGAAGAAGTTGCTGAGAACTTCGAAGCCAGCACAGATGAAGTAATTGGTGAGACTCCAAGGTAGTGGAGCAGAGGACCTCGAGCTGTGAGGAGAAAGCAGTGAAGAGGAGTGTCACGTGCTTCTGTAGAGGTGGTGAAGCACCATAGTTGCTCGAGGAAACTTCATGGTGTAGCAGCCAGGAGAGCTGTGGAGGACCTTAGTAGAAGGGTGAAGCACCGTAGTTGCTCAAGGAAACTTCAGGATAGCAGCCTGGAGGAGCTGCAGAGGATCCTGGTAGTGAAGCCCGGAAGAACCTGAAGATATCAGGGTAGTGAACTTCCAGAGGTGGAAGGGAAGTTCTGGTGGATTACTTGTAGGGAGTTGATAGTGTTTGGTTGTCATTAGCGTGCAAGACGCAGTGAGAGGTGAGTGATTGTTGGCATTCTTATGTCAAGGAGTGTTTTATACTGAAGTTTAGTTACAGTCGTAGGATGGATTACCTACAGATGTATGTGTTCTAGGACTGATAGAGTGATCGATTGTTCATTGTGGTGTATCAAGGAACATTTATACTGATATATGTTATTGCATTCACACGCTGATTTTCCTTGTACACGTTTATTTATTTATTTATTTATTTATATATATATATATATATATATATATATATATATATATATATATATGTATATTCTCTTGTTGATAATGCAACAGTGTAGTATAAGACTTGATCTACTTGAAGAGGTAGATAGTATCAGGTGGGGGATCAGAAGATAGGATACCACTTGATAAGCTGACGATAGAGTTCTGGTTGTGTTGGAGTGCAACCTGATTATAATAGTATAGAGTATAGGATTCATTATTATTATATGTGTGTATGTATTGTGTATGTGCTTTGTCCAGTAAATGTATTCCAATTTGCTGGTGTTTGCCCTTGTCCTAGTGAGGCTTCCCCGGAAATAGTAAAGGAAGAGAGAGAGAGAGAAATAGCCAAGAACCACTGCTGTGGACAGGGTAGAAGGTAATACTAATAAGTCAAAGGGGAATTGAGATCATATCACCTAAGGAGAGAGTGGGGAGTCACAGCGGCTCGAGTGGGTGTGTGCACGTGACAATGAGGCTAAGTGTTGGAGCTGCATCCCCTAAACGTGTGACGTTGAGCCCCTCTCCAAGAGCCAGAAGCGCCAAGGGTGATCTCCTAGAGAGGTATGAGCACACTACCGAGTTGTGGGTTGGGTTGTCCGTAGAGAAGGATCAACGACGACAACACCACCAACCCACAAGCAGACTATAATATCCAGAATGGCAGGGGCCACCACAAACCTGGGTAGAGAGAGAAACGAGAGCACGCGGTCCAAAGACCAAGATGGCTCAGGCGGCGCATGAGCAGGCCGGAGGTGAAACAACGCCGAGATAACTTGCGAAACAGGGCGGAAGTAACATCAACCCCGAAAGCAAGCTGAAGCGGCTCCGCCAACGGGGCACGATACGAAGCGACAGTATTCGGCATAAGATGACGGTACTGAAACAGCCAAGAGAGAAAGGACAGAACAACCCTATCAGAGACCAAAGAACACCGACGCAGTGATAGGAAAAACCGGAAGGACCGCCAGGAAACCTCATACTGCCGCTGAGACGAAGCACGCAGGTGGGAGACCAACAACGAAGCCCCCTGCCACCATACAACGAATGATAAACCCGAGTCAAAAACACCAGACGCGAAAACTCGAGGAGAAGATGGAACCAGCCTCGTTCAGGGCCGGACCGATCTGCTGAAAGAGGCAGAGCCGCGGGAAGACCCTCAGATACGGACACCTAGCAAGCAGCGCCTGAAACCAAGGCTGGGCCGGCCACCAAGGGGCCAGAAGGACAACACGACCCTGGTAAGTCTCCAAGCGAGTCAGGATCTGGAGAAACAGCGGAGCCGGGGGAGGAGGTACAGGTAACCCCACCTCGCCCAGTCCAGCCTGAAGGCGTCGACCCCGACGGCTTTGCAGTCGGGAAAGGGCACCACATAAACCGGGAGACCCCTCGACCACGCCGACGCGAAGAGATCCACGTCCGGAGTCCCGAACATCCGGCACAGCCAACGGAAGGAGTCGGGATCGATCGTCCACTGCAAGGACAGGGGACAGAACCGAGACAGGCTGTCCGCCAGGACATTGGACACCCCCCGGACATGAACCGCCAGGCGAGCCAAACCCAGAGAACTCAGTAGACGAGTCACCCGAAGCGACAAACCCCAACGAGCCAAGGATTGCATCGAACCCCCTCGGTTCAAACAATGAACCACCGGGGAGCAGTCTGAATGGAGCCGGATCGTCGATCCGCGAGCGACTCGAATCCCCCGGAGCGACATCCACACTGCCGCGAACTCCCGCACCGTGCTGTGAGCCCGACGGAAAGACGGAACCCACCACCCCTGGCCGGCCTGGTGAGCACTGGTTACAAAACCCCAGCCAAGAGACGACGCGTCTGTGTACACATCGAGCGAGGGCTCGGGAAGGTGCCAAGGCACCGAACCCCGAAAAACCCGAAGAGGAAGCCGGCGACACAGCAACCGACGCAAAGCCCCCGGAGGTTGAACCCAACGATTGCGAGAGAGGCGGAAGGGCCGGCCCCGAAGGAACCAGAACAGCCGACGAAGCCACACCCGACCCGGCGGGTAGACCATCATGGCAAAGTTCAGGCTCCCGCACAAACTCTCGAGCAATCGCCTTGTGACCCGGGAACCCTTCAGAAACGAGCGAAGGCG